TGATCTCAAGGAACCTCGTTTGGAGGGGTCTGAGGCCTCTACGCAATGTTACTTCCTGATGAGGTTGTTTTTCCTTTTGGTTTATCAAACAGTTCCCTGAACTAATTAATACTTGACAGCCTAAGTCATAAAGGACATGTTGCTACTGTATTTTAGTTCAGTAATTTGCATCCATACTTACTTTTTCACCATGTGTGTGACTGAGTTGTATGATCGAATACAAGTGAAGCCATAGGAGAGGACGCCTGAGTCCTTGTGGGTGAGGCACAGCCTGGGCTGTGAATGATTTTCCACAACTGCCCTGAGTACAACTAGTTAGTTTCATAAGGGAAGGAGTCGACAAGGCTCTCTCTCTGGGACAGGCTGTATGTCAAGAACACACAGATCTCCATCCATGCCACTGCTGAAGGATCCGCTGGAACTTCTGGATGGACTTGCTGCCCCACCTGGACCAGATGAGGCAGCAACGTCCGAGAAGTAGACATTGACCCTGTGAGGCCAGCTACTGGCCAGTTGGCCTTTTATAAACAGCCTACATTCTCCGTACCTGAGTTTCCATGTATGCAATTAGCAAAAGTTTTCTTCTGTCTCTAACATATTATGGAATGCTATTGTTAGGAGGTTAACCATAGTAACTCTTAGATGCTACAATGTTATGATTCCTTAGTTTGGGGCCTGAGACCTTATTTCCCATTCTATAAAGAGTCAGTGAGTTATTATTCTCTAACTTACTTAATAATTTTAAATCTATGCTATAAGTTGTCTTTCAAAGGCAAACTTGCTAACTTGCCAAGGTCAATGACAATTCATGCTTATTTTAGAAGCTGATAAAATAATTGGGCAAATTACAACCTTTCAGTCTTTAGCTAGAAGCTTTTTGCATAATGCCATGTGTGTTTCATATAAATGTTGAGAAGTTTTTTTGTTTTTTGTTTTTTTAAAGAAAAGCCTACCCCAGGATAAGGCAATCTGATTTAAAATACATGCAATATAATCTGACATTTATAAAGATATCTGCAGAGCCCGAAATGGAAAATGTACTATATGGGAAACAAGTATGGCATACCACCAAACTACAGAGTTTATAATATGAAGGGTTAAAAAAATAAATAAAAGCTTAGAGGAAAAGGAAATTGAATTTTCATGATGCAGAGATGAAAAGAACTACAAGCTATTATTTTTATTGGAAGGGGAAGAAGTTTTGAAATGTAAAAAGGTTCATAATGCAAAAATATTTTGCTATGCGATAGAGGATTCAACTAAGCATACAAGTGAATTACAGTATTACTTTTCTAGAAGGATTCTAGGTTTAAGAATGGCAACGGAAAGATAAATTTACCTAAATAGAGCAGAGGCAGTTGTATTAAGATTATAAAGGATTTTTTTTTTGTAATTAAAATGATCTAACATGATATATATCTATATTTTCTCATTATTTAGAGATTATTTTCTTACATATCAATAAATGGATGATAAATCCAATTGATCTTGGTATTTGAATATTTCATAAATTAATATGTATATAAAATTAGTATTAATGGATATGACCAGTCAATAAGTAAGCAAATCTTTAGTTCCCTTATTGACATAATAATGCTACAGAGATATTTTTAATAAAAACTCTAAAAGAATTTCCACTCCTGTATTTCAACTTTGTAATAATTTATGTTTTATTTGCAAATCATAGTTAAAATGTTGCTATGCCATTTACAAACTCAATTACATTAGGTCTTCTGATTTTTAAAAAACTTCAATTTTAAAATTGAAGTATTTTAAAAATCAGCACTACATAGTGAATATACATTCAAGTTTAAAATAAGGAAAAATGTGAGGGCAGCAAATTCACATGTTCAGTTTATATGGGTGATTATTGATAAATTCAGGTGGTCATGAAAGTCGATTCAAACCTAAATCAAACATCCAAATGAGACTCTGTGGTAGGCAGAAGGATGGTGTTTAAGTCTCAACCCCTGGAAACTATGAATATGTTATGATACACGACAGAGGGGAATTAAGTTAGCAGATGATTGCCAATCAGCTGAGTTTAAAATAGAGAAATTATCCTGGATTGTACAGGTGAGTCCACTGTGATCACAGGGTCCTTGAATGTGGAAGAGGGAGGTAAGAGAGTGAGAATCAGTAATTAAATGGAGAAGGACTCGATCAGCCATTGCTGGCTTTGAAGATGGAAAGGAATAATGGGCCAAGGAGAAAGGTCAGCCTCTCTAGAAGGTAGAAAAGAATGGCAAGGAACATAGCCTAGAGAACATAACCCTGCCAACACCTTGGTTTTTAGCCTGAGGCCCATTTCTGACTTTTCACCTCCAGAACTATAGGATAATACATTTGTGTTGTTTCAAGCTACTAAGTTTGTGGTAATTTGTTATAGTAGCAGATTAACATAGTAACCATCCAGTGAATGGTCATGCCTGTAATTGTTTAATTATGTCCCAGATTGATTAGTTCAAATTCTCCAAATATCTTGGCTATTTTCCTTTTGACAACACACCAGACAAACCTGAAAGCAAAGTTGTGACAATGATATTGTCCCTAATAAATATGCATTGATTCCCACATCATCTTGGAACTTCATTATCAAGATAAACTGCTATTCTTTCTTACCAAGGAAATAAGATTATATTTTAAAAAAGTATATAAATGATCCTTATACTGTTATATTCTTTGTTAATGCTAATAATCATGTATGTAAATATATACGTATTTTCAAGAGCATATCTGGCAATATTTCTAAAGCCTTTAACCATGACTTTGATATTCCCCTACAGGATTAGAAACACTAAAAAAAAAAGAAAAGAAAAGAAAAGAAAACGAAAAAGAAAAAACTGTCTTAAAGTGGTGAGTGACGCATCACAGGGGATAATCAACCAAAAGAGCTAGCCTGGATGTGGCAGATAGTTTTCTTATATTTAGTGGGAGATCGGATTAAATGAGCTTGAAGTCTCTCTCTGATTTCTAGTTTACAGGAATTTTTAATACAGAGGAAAATACTGACAGTAAAATTATTGGCAGGAGGAACGTTAAAATGTCTCCCATTAGATGTAAGAAGCTGGCAACATGGCTCTTGGGAGACTTTGTATCATTATATATTCAGTTCCAAAGTGAAATATCAGTATAATTTAAGGAGAAAGCGAATAAAAGAGGAGCCACTTAAAATTACAATTAGAGAACCATATGGTTGTTTGGTGACTGTTTAAAAATTATAAAAAATTACAACTACAGTTAACTCTTGAACAATGCAGCAATTAGGGGCACTGATGCACTCACAGTCAAAATTTCCCATCTCACTTTTAACTCCCCGAATACTTAACTACTAAGCTTCCTATTGACTGGAAGCCTTACCAATGACAAATAGTCGATTAACACATATTTTGTATGATGTATTACATATTATAGTCTTATGACAAAGTAAACTAGAGAAAAGAAAATATTAAGAAAATCATAATGAAGACAAAATATATTTACTCTATTTATTGGAAAAAAATCCACATATAAGTGGACCCATGCAGTTCAAACCTGTGTTGTTAACGGTCAACTGTATTGAGTTCAGAACTCTTATTTATATGTCAACATGTCGGACTCCTCTTTTTTTTATACAACTGGAAGAGATCACTACATATATTGATCACTTGAAAATACTATTTGTTAATAAACTATAATAAATTTCTTAAAATTCAAATCAAATCAAGGCACTCAGTATTAAAAAAAACAAACAATAAAATAAATATCAAGAAACACCTCTTCAAATAAAATGCTGCATGTTTAGTGTATTCTTTCTTATAGCAGCAAATACCACTCAGGTATTAAGCAGACAATCTACTCTTCTCTTTTTTAAGCCAACAGAAGGAACGTTATAAAATTACCTAATGGTTATACAGTAGGTGGTACGATGTCATATTAGCAATCTTTATATGAAATGAAATGTTCTCACAGAAGAAAAAAACACTTTATTTCCAACACATCTATTTCCTGTGCCTGATTATCTTATATGCTATTTTCAAACCCAGAGCACCTAAAGGACCTACTTGCCTAGGGAAAGCAAATCCTAGAAGGCCTAACAGTCTCTAGAATCCAGATCTGTTTGGTCATCTCTACACTGTGTGTCAATTTAGGGTAAAATAATGACACCTTGGAGGAGTCATTTTGATAGGGTGGGGTCCTCTGTTTGCCTAGAGTTCAATTCCTATTTCTTCCAAGCCAACGTTCCCCTCTTTTCTGTATTTCTCAGGAACAACTCCACACCAAAGCAGATTGGGGGAGAGGGGGAGGGTCAGTGTTTTCCAGATTGGCCACAATCCAACATTAGTTTCACTGTGATGAATCAAGAGCCCATCTTAATCCTTAGAAAAGGTACGAAAGATGTGAATAACTTTGTGAATAATTTGCAAAGCACTGGCCAGGTCCACAAGTGTCTCTTTCTGTTTTCCACTTAAGTTTAATTCCTTAGGGGATTGAGTGCTTTGCGATCTTTAGGATCTCTGCTAAAATGCTAATACTTCTAGAACAGCAAATTGAGAGCTCTAACAAAAATATAATTAAGGATATAAGGGCTGATTGAGAATTGGACACCACCAAAGTAGGCAAAAAGAATTTACAACGCCAAAATCTGGCCATGAAATAAGATCTGGGAATTAAATCAGTGGTGTAATTTATTGAAAACTCCATTGGTCGTAAATATGACTATTTCCCAAAGGGAAAGTATATTACCTAAATTTAGCATTCTCAAAAGACTAAAAAAAAAAAAAAAAGAAAAAGAAAACCATAAATGGCAAATATATAAGATTGGATATGTGTGATTTTTCTACAGTAAACAACCAAACATAATATAATAAACTCCAAAATTAAAGCACCTAAGGAGTTAAAATGTTATCTTTAAATTTTGACATGCTCTATTATCAGAGAAAAATGTTTAAGAAGTCTCTTCTGTGAGATTAGAACAGCATAATACATTTTTTTAACTGTATATTAAATGATAAACTTACATCAGAATTAAATCTCAACTGGCAAATGTTGCATGATATGATTTGCTTTCTTCGATGAGGAAGAGGAACCCCGAATGTATGATTTATTACAGCTTTCTGAATCGGGTCCATCTGTAAGGAGAAAAAAATACAACAAATAGAAATAAAGCTTGTCAGTTCCATTGGAATGTTGCCTATTTCATTAAAGAGTCAATCTGTACAGCTTCAATCTATTGCTCACATCATAAAAAACATTTTTATTCTAAGAAAAGGCATTTCTATTTTCTTGAAAAATAGGAAACAATAAACTTGAAGATCACTATGATAAGGAAAATAATAAATGTATCCATTAGAGTCTGTGTACTGTTTTTCTCATTTAGGATCAACAATTGTCTCAGTTTGATAATACTAAAATGTAATTAAAGGTTTATCAAAACTCCAGTTATTGCAAATGCCAGCAATCTTGCACAAAAGTATATCTATGCCATTGCCCCAAATATATTACAAAATAGACTTGGTCAGACAATCAGCTCTGAAAGTAAATTATGCACTATTATCCAACATTAACTTTATGCTGTTTGGTATCTTTTCTACCTTGAGAATATAGTACATAGTATACACTTTCTGCTTTTAAGAGTCCTAATACATGGAGCTATCAATTCCATTCAACAACCACTTATTGCTCATCCAGTATACTGTGACCCTATAGACTTATTATTTGAGGTTCGAAGAGTTTGGGCCACATATCAGTTATTTCTCTCCATCTCATTTTCTCAGGACAGGACAAGTTGACACCCAAAACATAATGTCAACAATCCAGCTCTAATAAAGCTTAATGTCTCCTCACCAAGCTCTGTCCTACAGTCCGCATTAGTGGGTCTCAACTCTTAGATAAAAATTTTGATCTGCTTCTTAATATTTGTGAAACCTCTTTGAATGTCTATCTCTATATCTTAAGATTATGATGAGGTTTAAAAGTGATAATTCATGTAATTTACTTAGCACAGTCAGTGCTGGGCACATTAACAAATCAATAAATGTTGGCTATTAATATAGAACACTCTTAATGCAGTGTTCTAAATAACAGCTGTAACAACAATAAACATAATAACACTCAGCATTTATTAAGTGTCTTTTCTTAGCTAAGTATTAGGCGAGGTGGTTTATATATTAAACAGATACAAAGATCAAAAAGAAGTTGTCATGTAATCATTATTTTCTTCCATCATCACTTAATTTTTTTTCCTGATTTTAATCCTGGCCCAGATTCTAGATAAAATTCAACTATCCAAGAGTTTTCTGATCACTTCCAGGTATTAACAAGTTCTAGCATCCTCCGCCCCCCGCTTACTGGTGAATTCTCCATACTCCCTTTTAAACCAGTTTTATTTAGGTATAATTTACATACAATAGCATTCACCAGTGTTAACTGTAGAATTGGTTGAGATTTGACAAATATACACAGTAATACTAATTATCAAATAGAGCATTTGAATTGCCTGGAAAAGTTCCCTCCTGCCCTTCTGTGATCAATTCCTGCCTCCCACCCCAAGTCTATGAAACCAATGATCTGCTTTCTGTCACTACATTTTTGCATTTTCTCGAAGTTCATATAAAAAGAATCATACAGTATGTGGTCTTTTTGTCTGCCATCTATCATGCAGCATAAAGTTTCTAAGAGTCAACCATTTCGTTGCCTATATCAATAACTTATTCATTTTTTATTGCTGAGTAGTAATCCTTCGTATAGATACACCACCATATGTTTACCCATTTGTCAGTTGATGAACATTTGAATTTGAATTATTTCCAGTAAATTCTATAATCTTTTCAAGTCTTAATATACAATCTAAAGCTTATTCCTAAATTCGATTCAGCGTCTTAATTCGAACATTGAAATTAAATTAAAATTACAATCTCTTTTCCTTAGGTTGGATGTACTACCAGAGAGTAGTTTGAAAGGCCACAGGGCATGGTATCGGATTCTTCTCTCTTCCTCCCTCTCTCTCCTTCCCACCCTCCTCTCAAACTCCCCTACTTCCTCAGATCCAAAACAGATAATGCTCAGAGCTTGAAAAGGCCACACAAATCTGTGAATCTGGGCTGTTTCAAAAGCCTTCATTTTGCTTCCCAGGATCACTCTTAAACTACTTTAAACATGCCATCATAATGCTTCTATGACAACAATTACAGAGAACACTGGGGAATAATTTCCCTTTCAGCCAAGAGCTAAAGAAAATTAAAAGCAGAAAGAGGTCACTAACTTAGAAGTAGTTGTCTTGTCATGTTATATTGCATCTGTTCTTTGCATAAATGGGGCCCATTTCTATCAGGGGATTAGGTAAATTATGTCTATAACTCATTTAGAAATATTGAAGTACTCTTACAATAATACAATGAAATAAAAATGAACAACACATTTATATTAAAGATGCTTTCTGACATGTGGTGCTGAGTATTTATCATATATTAGTGAGCAGTATATTATTTTGGTCTTTCAATAACAATGAGAAAGCAATGACTGCATTCAATTCAAATTTGTGTAGGAGGTATTTTGGAACTAGACCCCATGCAAATGTGACATATTCTCTAGATTTAATTCTTTTGTTTGAATTGAATGATGTTCTGATCTCTGTGACTGTAAAATCAAATTTCACAATGCAAAGTTGTATATTCTTCTTTGGAGACCATTTTATTTCCCAGTATAGTTAGCAAAAAAACACAACTGAATTATATTTTAAAAACAAAAGTTACACCAACAAAAAGTATTTTATTTATCTTTTATCATTTTAGGAATCTAGTATGAAAAATGATGTCTAATGCCTTTATTACTTAACATAAATCGCATTCACCTCTCTAATATATACATCTATAAATATACATAAAATCATTTACAACAAGGAATTATGAAAGGGCAATATCTACATAATAACCAGTTCTGTTGTTAGATAGTCAATTAAATGAATCCACATGGTATGTAACAAAAAGTAGCATCTACTATAAACTCAGGGGACAAATAGCCACTTTGATCATTTTGTCTAAACATACCATTATTTACCATTATAATCAAACATTTTGTTCAAAGAGAAAGCCATACATGTGGGTTTTTCCCCATGAACAAATAGGTCTGATTTGTCAAAACAATCACACTTTATTGTGTGTATATATATTATCATTAAGACTTTTTTTTCTACAAAATCAGTTTTAAGGGATGCCAATGTGTGTAGGCTAGAAAAAAATGGGGGTTCTTGGGTTAAATAAGTTGTAGAAAACCCAGATTTTACAGCTGAGGTATTCACAGTGCACCATAAAATAAATTCTCTGAGATATCCCATAATAAAAATGTTTTAAATAAATAATTTCTAAAATAATATAACCAAATCTTTTGTCATTTTATTTGTTTTTAATTTTAGCATGCCTGGTTCAATGCATGCAGTTTAGAAAATTGTAATCTGGAAAAATAAAGTCATTATAGAAATATGAATAAAATGTAAAGCCTTCAGCATGAAAGTAAAGACATAAACTAAAAATGTAATACATAAAAATCAGGTCCATAAAACTTATCCCATGTATCACTAAATTAAAAACTGAAAGAAATGGTAAAATATATAAGATATTTTAAGATATTTATTTAATTTCTAAAGTAGAATATTTTAACAGCTAAAATTTTCTAAAAACAATACTCAGTCCCCTAAAACAAACAAAAGTGAAGAATGATACACTACTTATCGATATGCTTACCGAAACTCTAGACTAAAATTCAATTTCAAACTCAGTATGGCTTTATTTAAAGCCAAATGAATATGTTTTTCTTCATTTCAGGCTTAAAGATCTCTGCATTTCTATCTCAGATCCAGCTTTTCCATCACCTCCCCTCTGGGCATTCTGCTAAATTGATTTGTAAATAAGTGTACCAGGCACAGCTTCAGGTAGAGCAGCCGCAGTACAAGGTTCTGAACCTACTCTAAGGACGTCTGTTGTATTTTCACAGGAAAGGGCTTAACCTGGGTTTACATTTCCTATTCTAGGAGACCGCCTCTTTCGCTGTTCCTATTATTATTGTGGATTTCAGGTTTAAAATCGGACAATAAGAACTTAAATGTCAGGAAGTTTAGAAGTCTAGAAATATAAAGGTTGTCTCTTTCAGCTGGTATTTCTATGTAACAATGACCAGTAACAATAACTCTAAAGGTTACACACACTTAAGGGCATTTAGAGGGTGTTTTTTGTTTATAAGCATTATTTCTATGCTAACAATTTACTGAAGAGCTCTCATTGCCCCTTATCTAAAATAATACAAGTAGTAAGCGGCAGAGCCAGCTAATATCCACAGCCTCCCACTCTGCCTCTTTGCCTTCCTCAGGCACCACAATAAAGCTTCGTGATATCTACTGTCCTGAGTATTTGTGACTCTGTAGAATTAAGTGACACCAAGTAGAGACCCTGGTAGATTTATTACACCAACTATGAATTAGTAAAATTTGTGTTTATATTGCTTATATTCATATATTAGAAAACACTAATAAAAACATTCCTAATAATCTCACTCCTGCAACGAATTTATCCATTTAAAAAATTGCAACTTCTGTCCTTTTTCTCTATTTTAATGGATATATAACTTACATATAAAAAAGTGCATACATCTTAAGTGTATCATTAGTTGATTTTTTAAAGCATGTGCATACTCCCATGTTATCACTATCCTAATAAAGATGTAGAACACTTTCTGAAATCAAGAAGGCTCCCAGTCTTCCTCTTACCTAGTCAATACCCTCTAGTGATCACTATCATTATGAGATCAGCATAGATTATTTTTCCTACTTTTGTACTTTATAAAATGTAATTACATAGTATATATTCTTGGGTATCTAGTTTCTTTCATTCAGCATATGGGTCAAGAGTATTTTGTCCCTTATTCATTGCTGTATTCTACCATATCACAATTGATTGTCAACTTTACAGTTGGTGGAGATTTGGGTTTTCAGTTTGAACCTATTATGATTAAAGTTATTATAACTATTTGTAAGCATGTGTTTTGTTGGAATTAGAAGTCATTTCTCTGAGATATATAATTAGAAATTAAGTTTCTAGCTTGTAGGATATGCACAAGTTAAGCTTTACCAGATATTCCT